TTTTGCCAATGATTTCCTCAGACCAGAGTTCCTCTTCCTTTTCTCCTTGGGAGAAGGCAATCTACTTACTTTTTTTTTTTTTTTTTTTTGCCACTGATTCAAACTAAACAAAAGAAGAAGAAAGATTGCAGTTTATGATCAAGGCAGACCCAAAACATTTTATTGCCCCAGAATCAATAACAGTTAAGCTATTTTATTAGCATCTTATTCTAAAATAAACAAATAAATAAAAAATAAAGAACAAATAATGTTCTGCATGACACCAAACATCTGCCAGTACCTGTGCTAGAGATGTCTTTGTGACAGGAGCATGTAGGTAATGCTAAAGTTCCTCTCTCAATGAACAATAAGTCGAGGAACACTTTCTCAAGTAACTTCAGCTATTTCAAAGCTACATTTTCATAATACAGAGTTAAATCTCAGTCATGTTGCTTGAGTGCCTATGAACATTCTCATCAGTGGCTGCTGTTGTCATTCACTAACACAGATTAAAACTTTAATTTATTGCTTTTCCCATTTAAAAACTCCCCCCCTCCAAAAAAAGCAGTTTCTAGTTCAGTCCATTTTTTTAGTTTTACAATAACAACGATCCTTTTTGCATCACCTTTCTCCATTTGGATTCCAATGTAGTGCAGGATATACATAATAAATTACTAAAAACTAACACAATTCAATAAAATATTTGGCAGTCTAATAACATCTAGACAGGGGATAAAATCAATTCAAATGTCTGTACAAATAGATACAATTTAAAATAGCATCTAAAATATTGCAATGTAGACAGGCTTTCTTCTTCTGAAACCATTGTTGAAAAAGCCTACTTTGAAGAATGCTAGAAAATTCAGTTGGAGCAAAAGGAACTCTAAATTTAAAACCTGGGTATCAATTGTTCATTTTTATTTCCCAATTTAATTTAAGATGTTGGTTTTAAACTTTAAAACTTAAATCCCAACTATCTATAGGACCGCTTCACTCCTTATGAATCAATCAAGTTATTAGACTCTGCATGGCAAGTTACTGTTATTTCCAGCATTGGATAATGGCTTAATATATATTTCATACTTTGTGATGTTACTGTTTTATATTTTTTAAAAATGTTTGTAATTCTTGCAGAATGTACATTTAAGCCAATTTGAGGAACTCACTCTTGGGAACATTCATATTTAATTGTTTTTGGAATACAGAATGAAACACTCAAAAACTTTCACAGGAAAGAATGAAAGATGTCATGCAATCAAGCTAGCAATCCACCACCAGCCTATTTTCTCTCTATGGTTGTCCTCAATTTACGACCACAAATGAGCCTTAAATTTCTGTTGCTAAGCAAGACAGTTAAGTGACTAGTGCATTTTATGACCCTTTTTGCCACAGCTGTTAAATGAATCACTGTAGTTTAGTGAATCATGTGGTTGTTAAGCGAATCTGTTTTTCCAACTGGGAGAACAGGAGACTGGGAAGATGGCAAAGGGTGATCAAGTGACCCTAAGACACTGTAACCATCATAAATACCTGCCAGTTGCCAAGTGCTTGAATTTTGATCATGTGACCATCGGGATGCTGCAACGGTTGTAAGTGAAAACTGGTCAGAAGTCACTTTTTTCAGTGCTGTTGTACTCCAAATAGTCACTAAACAAATGGTTGTAAGTAGAGGACTACCTGTATTCCAAAGGAAAGGCTGCTGCTGAAAGAGTGATGCCTTTTAATCCCCAATATTTCTCATTGGGGGGGGGAGAGACATCAGACTCTTCTTCTTTTCAGGCATTTTGATCCTGCAAGCAAGAACTTCAACAGCTTTCTTTTTCTTACAGACTATACAGTACAACTTATCATGCTTCCCATAACAACTCCTATGTTAAAATTCAAGTAATTGTGAAATCTATTACATTTATCTTACTCAATAGTAAAATATGAACCAATCAATTAATCATTACTTTCTCTCTGCCCATGAAGCGCATGCTGAATCTAGACAAATATAAAGATGCAATATAACTCCCCTTGTGATACATCAATATTAAATCTTGTCTTTTATCATTTTTGAAAAAAACAAGCATGTTAAGATTTCATACAACTCACAGCATTATACATCAATGATTCATGACAAGCAAGCTTATATAAAAACTATCCATAACTCCTTTAAAATAAATTGAAATGACAGCAGGTAAGGGAAAATTTTGACCAATAAAGAGAATCTGCTCTGTAAAAATTTTATAGACACTTTGAGTTTATTCTAGCAATGTTAACACCATGAAATATTAGTTGCACTGTTACAAGGAATGGTGGTATAACTTTTGGCATACTCTAGAGTAATCTAAAAATAAGTAATAGAGTGAATACCAATTCGGTATATTGGAACTCCAAGGTTGAAAATAGATACAGAAAAAATACAAGCTGAAAACCATATTAACAAAGTTATATTTTCATCTATTGTGATGAAAATAATGATATTTTTATGCGCTGGTTGCAGTATTCCCCTGTACTGACCTGGGTATTTATTTCTATTCTATCTCAAAAAAATCAAATCTATTTCTCTTAATCCCTGGGCAATTTAAATTGAACTTATAATAAATCTTAGCCAGAAATATTCTAATAGCACAGACATATTATATGAAGGAAAATAAAATGGTGTGCTATAAATTTGCTAAACACTAAACAGGTGGGAAATGGCAAGTGCTCACCTAATTTTTGCTCATGGCCAGAATACTGAAAGTTAAAAGATATGTTTTCAATTACTGTATGTAACTGGGTAGAAAGCATATGGGACAAAAATAATGTATCTGCCTGAAATATTCCTGGCACCTGTATTGCACCCAAAATCCCAGTTCCCCAGATCAGTGAAAATGCTCAGGAATAGAGTCAATCCTACCTTACAGTTTGCTGTTTTGGAAATCACCATTATGCCTGCATGTTAGCATTCATATTGGTTGCAAAGCCAAGACCAGAAGACAAAGAAGTACACAAATAGGAGCAGTAAGATAAAAATATGCACATATATGCTTTTGTATATGTAGTCCTTCATATTATACTGTGGCATGTGGGTAAGCAATTCACAACCTTCCCATCAACACTTTTGTAGAGACAGGATTTTAATAATTGTTTATTACAATTCCCTCTCCCAAACTTCCTGTCTCCACATTTCAATAAGTAATACTTCTGAATATGATAAAATAAGCAGAAAAACATCACAAAACAGATTTTTTTTGGGGGGGGGGAAAGCTACCAAACTCTTTTTTGTTTGCAGGATCAAATAGTTCCACCTTTTGTCAGGTCATATAGAAGTTACAATATGCAAATAACATGCACTGAGTGGCTAACAATGCAATGGAATGAACCAGTGGTAGGACAATGCAAATTTTCTCATCTCACCCCAACTATTAAACTTCCTTGAGAAGAGGAAGAAATTTAAAGAAGTTGTATTCTCACATCAATCATCTACTACAACTTTGAACCATGTCAATTTCCGTTCAGGACACAAAGAAGAGATTTTTTAAAAAGAGTTCTGGAAAATGAATTATACTAGAGCTTAAAACCACAAACCCAGGTCAGGTTTGTTCAGTTTTTTTCAAGAAAAGACAGGAAAGACTAATAGTAAAATAAAATGTAACCTGGTAAGGGTCAGCTGTTGTTCTTCCTAGACTTACATATTCATTCAAGCTGCATTACATCCCATTAAGAGAGACTGTAGGTGCCCCTTTACATTACATTATAGGAGACATATAATGAATGGCTCCTCAAGAAGGTCAGCCTTCAGCTCTGCAGCATTAAGGGCTTCAGAGGCCTGAATGCCAATGTTAGGTGCTTTGTTTAGGTTACTAGCAGCACAAATAAGATTTAACAAAGGATCTCCTTAGTCATCGTATATGGATTGCTGGAGTCAAATAATCCTATTTCATTTAGCTGTTCACAGGATGCAGAACACACACATAGAATTTCAGCGGCACAAGGAATTCAGTTTTTTAAAATGCACTCTTTTTATGCATCCCTTTTCAATGTATATCAAGTGAGTTTACAATCATATTTGTTGTCACTTTCATTCATTTCAGACCTTTTCTTTATTTGATCTGAGATACTGTTACATTCTCATTGAAAAATGAGGAAAAAAAGGGGAAAGCACAGGAGACAACACTCCACAACTGAACATCTAACCCCCAAGAACTGAAACTTAGCAATAGCTCACACTTTTTGGCTTTTTTTTGGGGGGGGGGGGGGCTTTTTCCTCTGAGCTAAGGCAGAAGACAAATCTCTCTTTTCCATAAGAAAAACATTTGGAAGTTGAAATAAATAAGTACCGGATGTCACTAAACATTGTTCACTGAGCATCTGCTGTTTAAGATCACCCTTGATTGATGACAGCTATTTTTAATTGTTGCTTTTAAATTTTAAATGCCCTCCTGAGACATGTTATAAGTGTATTAGCACATGGCAGGAGGCCTGTGAGGTGGGAAACACAGAACGGCTATTTTCATGTCATTAACACTTGAAACCAAGAAATACAATGTAAAATAAGATAACCCTGAGAAACAATAGCCAAAAAGGCTAATTCCCAATAGATTTTTGTATGTTTGCCTTGACATAGGCTTTTCCTGGTCTTGGTATATGCCAAAATGTACCATTTGTAATTATTCATACATTTTTCAATGACTTTATAAAGCACTGTGTAAAAGAACAAAAATATTTATGTTTGAGTAGATTATAAATTACAATATTGTAGGCACTTCTGGACTCTTTTAAATTAATGTAAATTTTAGAAAAGGTGTTAAGATAAAAGTGACACAAGAAATGTTCCCCTCTTTAATTGTTTTTCCTCTTATACATAGGCACAATATCACATAAATCACATTCTATTTGCACCATTTAAAATATGTTTATTATAACAATTGCAATACTAAAGGTGAAAATCTGTTCCTTTTCATTTAGATATATTTTTGAATGAAATAGGTCTGCAGAAATATGCATTAAAAAGAGGGTAAAAGATGCAAGAAAATAATAAAATTTCTCCTTACCTGTTTTTTCTTTAATTTCACACAAAACATTAAAAAGTGCAGGTTTCATTCTGTGACAGTTTAGAGCATGTTTTCTGCAAGGAAATCAGAAGGTTAGGTTTGAACTGAGCCACAGAAATGTGAATATCTTTAAAAATAGATTACAGAGGATTCCTTATACAAAAAAGTATTAAAGTTTATAGCTCAGTGGAAATTGTGCCCAAGTGAAAAACAGCTTTCAATTTTATACTGAATAGGATATCAGTTTGGTGATTGTAAATGCTACCAAACAGGCAACTATTCGACACAGCTATTCCAGCAGCATCCATAAACTATACTTGCTGGCCAGGCTATTAACCGATCAATGCGAGGAGCATGTAGAAGCCTTTCCAGTGTTTAATGATGATCTTATTCAACCACATAGAGAACTTCTGTATTGTTCTCTTCCTTTTTTCCCCTCTATTCATCCATGTCTTACAATTCTTTGTGCTGAAGCAGCTCTACTGGAAAGGTTTGAAAGCTCTTTGGAAAGGAAACCTGAAGTACAGAATAGCCATTTTTAAGTAAAATAGTCTCAGAATGTAGAATTATAGTGCCAGAGAGAGAGAGAGAGAGAGAGAGAGAGAGAGAGAGAGAGAGAGAGAGAGAGAGAGAGAGAGAGAGAAAGAGAAACATCTAATAAGGCAGGATGAAAGTGAAAAATATAATTACTTTCATGTTCCTCATATCTTACTGGCTTCCTTGAAGGAGTAAAAAACATACAGTTAAAAAAAATAAAAATATTAATCAGGATAACAAATCATCATCATCACCACTACCATCATGTTGCTATTCTAGTATGCAAAAAAGAGAGAATTTATATGGGTCATTTCCTGCCCAACTTCCTTGTGCCAAAATGGGCCAGTTGTTTTTTGTTTATTAGGTTGATTAGTTTCATGTTCCAGCAGATGCCCATAGAAGAAAAGAAACAATCTAACATTGCTGTAACAATTACTATTTCTTTGACAAGTGATGTCTTCTGAAGATGTGCTGTTACAATATGTAAGAAGTCTAATCTCATTGGGCATCAAAGAATGGGTTTGAGAATCAAAATTACATTTCATTAGAACATGAACATTTGGGTGCCTCGGGCAGAAAAATTGAAGAACCTTCTCATTCCACTGATTAACATGGAATGCAATCCATTAGGCAGGTCTCTTTTGCCAGCGGACCCCTTGTTTCTGGGGGCTTGTGCAAGAGAACATCCCACTAGTGTCTACACAATGTGTTGGAACTGTTTTCTTTCCATTCCTAACAGCACCCAAAATCCATGGCTCTGTGGCTCGCAACTGGCACATTAGCATAGAGTATATTTTGATTTCCCAAATATCAGAACTATAAAAAAATTAGTGCGAGTAAAATAAAAGTTTGCTACCACATACTTAAATATATTTGATATTGGGTTACACAAAGCAGAAAAATAATGAAATACACATTTCCTTTTAAAAACCTGATCAGCTTTTTAAAAGTCTGTAAGCAGAGCTGCGTAGACAGGTATGTAAAGAGTAACAGGCGATAAAAAGCATCTGTACCCTTGGTATTGATTTTCAATTAGATCAGCACATTTAATAGTATCTACACACATTAAGTATTTAAACCAAACATCAGCTCTTGCAACTTTTAGAAACATCTTTCCTCTGCTTTGTCTTATAGCAATACTGGGAAGCAACATTCAGCAGAAGCTATTATTCATCAAATCCAAGTGTTCTATCAAAACAAGGTTATGAACCCTGCACTTCTCAGCTCAGTGATGCTTTAAAGCTATGCTATATGCCTTAAAGTAACAAGAGTCAGTAACAAGAGCTACTGAAATCCATGGAACTTACTTGTAAGTAATCACTTAAAAGAATTCCACAGTTAGCTGGTGCTATATATCAATACCATCTCAGTGAATATTAGGTGTTAGAAACCAAGTAAGATACGCAGTTTACCATTGACACATAAAGTCTAGCAGTCTAACCCAGGCGATTGTGGAAAGGATTATAGACCCAGAATGGAAATCAAATGCTAATAGCTTTTCCTCAGGTAAGATTACTCTATTAACTATTGTCCTTTATTTTCCACTTGTATTTCTCCTTTATTTTCCAATTCTCTGTTCTGAAAATTGTTTTTTTTTTTTTTTTCATTTTAACTTTAAAGATTTGCAGAAATGTTCTAGGAGAATGCTATGCACTTAGTTATATATACTGGTATGTGTAAACATGTTTAAGAAGCTCCATTTTTAAAATGCACAAAGGCACTAAAAGTGTAACACTATATTTACTACCTACATTGAAGGTTTTACAAAATACCTCTAAGATACCTCTAAGGGATATATATATATATATATATATATATATATATATATATATATATATATATATATGTTTTTATATAAAGCATATTTCTCTTCCTCAAAATTCAGTTTGAAGAGAAACAAACATGGTGACTTGTGAAAACAATTGCAATACTAAAGATAAAAGTATTGTACAAATTGTCAAATGCTTCAGTGCAATTAGTAATAGGCACATACAACTTGCCTTAGATTATGATCTGCTGTTTCATATGAAGAATTCATATGGTTTCTTATGTGGAAGTACATCCTGGAATGGATATCTAGTTGGGAAAGTGGCAACATTTACAGGCTGTATTCTACTATCTTCTAGGCTTCTTAAAAGGCTCAACTCGTATGGTAGAAATATATATCCTTTTGAATATCACACATAGAAAAAAACTGAGTTCCTACAGCAGCATCAATACTTGCTATCACAAGAAGATCAGAAATTAGTCTGTTTGTACAAAGAAGCCACCAAAGGGAACAAGCATTAAATGATATTAAGTTTATTGATTTTCAATGGGATTAAGTGTGATTAAGTTTTTTTTTACTGTACCTAAAAAGCTATAGGGACTGAGCTTTCAACCCTGGCCTTCAAATGGTTTTGCTTTTTTGCTATTTAAAAAACAGAAAACAAAACACCAGCCTTTTTATAGCCACTCTATTTACATATTTCTTTTAAAAGGTAAAATCCACTCAAAATATTTTTGGAATAATGGCTGATACCATAATCTGTTTGCCTCCTCTGTTAATAGCAGATGCAGTCTGATATTTTACACCCAAAGTTCAATCTCTCAGATATTACAACTAAGAAAATGACAATGATTTAACTTCTTTTTCGAATCAAATACAAATTAACTTGACTATTTGAGACTTTCAGTTTATGAACTACTACAAACAAAAGCACATGGGAAGCTGCAGCTCCCAACTCAAACCATCCAGTCAAGGAAGCTATTTAGCCTTGTCTAACTTAAGTCAGTCACAAGAATAAACATCCATTCCTTGGAACCTCTTTTTTCTGTGAAAACCTAGTAAAAACGCAATTTTAGGCTATTACGGTCGTCCAGTGAAAATCTTATTTTTCTTTGGGATTACTTTTTTTCCGGAAGGCTAACAGAACTACAGAAAGCACAAGTATTTGTCTGGATCAGATCTTCGAGTTAAATACGCGTATCATCTTTATCGCCGTCGTCATCACCCAAGGACTCACCTGGCCTGCGCTTCATCCAAACTCTGGTCGGTGATGGTCATAATCTGCTGTAAAATGTCCCCGATGTCTTGTTTTCGTCCTCCCTCGGTTTCAGTGCCGGCAGCTCCGTCCGGCATATGCTGGGACAGGCCCGGATGGCCAGCCATTCCCACTCCGGCGTGGGAATGCATCAACCTGGGCTGATCATCCATCCCCAAGGCTAGGCGCGGGCGGGAGCCTCTTCTTTTTCCCCCTTCTCGAGCTTTTTCGGGAGCGCGCTTCTTGGAAGAGAGGAATCAACTGCTGGGCTCGCCTTCCTTTCTTCCTTCCCTCCTTCCCTTTCTTCTTTGGGTTTTCAAAAAAGAATAATGTTATCCCTTAACGAACCTTAAACCTCCCGAGAGAAAAGGAGAGAGGGAGGGAAGGAGGGTGAGAGGGAGGAAAGAAACACTCTCAGAATTCTTGCGAGGAGACTGTCGGCTCCAGCAGGCAAGGAAACCCCCTTCTCCGCGGCGCACTGGAGCAGGATCAATGCGAGAAGCCGGATCGGGCTAGTTTTTTGCTGTTCTTTTTTCTCCCCGTCCCAGCCAGGTTGTCGCTTTTCGCAGTTGAGGGGGCCGACCGAGCAACACTGGAGGCGGTCGGCAGTCGGCGATTGGCAAGCTACCGTTTAATCCTTCCTTGGGGAAAAACCCGCCTCGATCTGAAAGGCGAGGGAAAGAGCCGAGCAAACTTTCCCTGCCCGCCCGCCCCGCTCGGGAGCCAGATGCTCTCCTCGAAAGGAGCTTCGCGCTGCGCAGAGCTGAGGGCGAAAGGCACAACCCAGCTCCCCGACGCCTTGGCCAAGGCAGGCAGCCTCCCCCTCAGTTCGGCGTCTCGGCGAACTCGGAGAGCCCCTTCCCAGCCTCCTGCTTTGTTTCAGGCTCAAGCTCAGGACTCCTGAAACTGACACAGAAAAGGCACAGGAAGGAAGGAAGGAGGGAGGGAGAGGAGGCGAACAGATGGGTGGTGCTGATGAGAGAGCCGAGAGGGCGCCTCGCCCTCCTGATTGGCCGCCGCTCGCCACCGATAACTCCTCCCCGCTTTCGCCATCACCGATTTCCCCCTCCCCCCGCGGGCGGCTGCCTGTCAGTCAACGGGTTCAGAGGTGCGCAGCGCTGGAGGCTCCAGGCCTTAAAGAGGCAAGCTGGAGTTGGAACGGAAAAGGGGCTCCTGCCTCCGACTTAGTGGAGCAAGACGCTGCCGGTTCATGATAGTGCATGCAGAAGAGGCCGTCTTCAAGTCAAAAGGCTGTTTTTCACTCGAACCCGGGAATCTGATATAAAAGAAATGCAACTGACTCAGTTGCTGTTGTAAGTAGCAGACTTGAATAGAGCCCGCAGATCCTGCATACAATAATAAACTTCTAGATAGCCATTAGTATTATTTTGGCTGGGACAATCATTTGTTGCTTCTTTTTGTTAAAACAAAACGAAATGAAACTGGGAGCCACTCATCCTTCCTGATCTGCTGCAGATCAGCCAGAGATCCACAGTAGATGAGATTTATTTCCTGCCCATCTTCCATTAATGTAGACAGCCCAGTTAATTCAGGGGGGAATAAAATATCCTAGTTGGGCCACCCAATTCTATTACGAGTTGCATTATAATAATGAGAAATACTATAAAAGGTATTTGGAGATTAGAAGAAATGATAAAGATAACCAGCCTGAGTAATGTAGCCCTCAAAGTGGCACTAGAGAATAGTACTTGGCTAACTGGGTGACTCAGTAACATTTCTGCACACAGTTGACCTTCAAAGATTCTTAACTTTTTTTTTTTTTGGCTCATGGGCCCGTTCTGAGCTCCTGTAGCTTTGTGATCCTGCCTCCCCCAATAGCTGCTGTTAGCTGAGAAAAGGGTACTTTTTGGGGACGTTGTCCATGGGGTCGCAATGGGTCGGACACGACTTCGCAATTAACAACAACAAAATTGACTCCAGGTGACTGCCTGAACATGTCACTGCAGTTCTCTTGGCAAGATTTCATATTTCCTGCTTCCTAGGGCTGAGAAAGAGTGACTGGCCCAGGGTAACTCACTTGGCTTCATGCCCAAGGTGGAAGTTCTCCCAGTTTCTAGTCTAGTGGTTTACACCAAATTGCTCTCTTTTTTCTAATGAGTTAAAATTCCATTTATTATAGATTTCTTTTATTAAGATATTTATTATAAACTGTAGTAATTTTCAGCATGTATGATGCTGAAATTAGTACAGATGAGATATTAGGTTTATGACAAATTGATCATTCAATGCGATGAAGGAAATGGGCCTTTATATGTTTTTTATATTATGTATGTATGTATTTATTTATTTAACTTCTATGCATACCCATCTCAGTCAATGACTATGGATGGCTTACAATTCAAAAAAATATATTTAAAAATATTAAAACATTTTAAAACAATAAAAGCAGTAAAACCAACAAAAACATCAAAGCATCCAATTAAACATACAAATTAAATATATTGATGGTTATTTTTTATTGCATTTTTATTTATTTATTGCATTTTTATTTATTTATGAGCTTTCAGCCACCCAGAGTTGCATCTTGTGAGATGAGTGGCCATATAAATTAAATAAATCAAATGAAATAATTCTAACTATTTCAAGCTCCTGGAGAAAAAGAGAGGCAAATATTGAATTCATATCATATTGTCTACTGGATGGCTATTTCTAGATCCTGCCAGCCACAATCAATTGCCAGCACTAGTCAAGGATGGCACTAGTTTATTATCAGTTGCTCTCTCGTGCTTCATCCTGTTCCCCATCTCCATGCCAGAAACCCCTAGATCCATATTCAGAAATAATGAATTAAATATTATTACATATAGTCAATATGCACACAGTTGAGAATAAGCCTAGTTGAATTTAGTGGATGTATAAACCTATAGTGGATCTATCTTGCTGGAATTAAAAAATGTGTATATACCACGTTTCTCCGAAAGTAAGCCCTCTCCCAAAACTAAGCACCAGCTGATTTTTGGGGATGGGCCTAACAGAAGCCCTCCCTCCAAAAGTAAGCCCTACCTAAGAGCCTGCGCAGACGGCTGGCCATCAATTCCATCTGGTTTCACCAAAGACACGAGGTAAGAGGGGGAGCTACCAGTGCCTCTGTGATGAGGTGAAGCCAATGGGGGAGGGGAAATCTGACCATTTGCCACCAGCTGTAGTCATTTGCCGCCAGCCGTGGCTGTTTGCTGCCTCGTGCATCACACCGAATGCCACTGCCATGAAGCCTAATGGACCAAGTACCGATGCGGGCAGGGCACATGTCCTTCCCATACCAGGCCAGCCTCTGCAGCCCTGGGGCAGCCGTGCTGGGCAGTGGGAAAGGCGCCAGGCTGACGCTCCTTCAGCTGGAGCAGGGGACCTTTGGCCCAGGGATCTGGGGAGGCCGCCTTCCTGGCCTGGACGGGCCCGCCTGAGAGGTGAGTGGGGAGGTGGCAGACCAGGACCAAAGCAGCAGGTGGAGCGCCAAAGCCTCAGGGACAGAGAGTGCTGAAGTGAGTGAACGTCCTGCTGTCAGCGCCCATGCCGGCTGCCCCCTTTCCTGTGGAGCTGGAGAGCTTGCCACACCATGGCCAGATACCCTCGCTTCCCCCAGGAATTGCATGTCTTTTCTTACCTGACTTCCAGCCCCATCCCGTTTCTCCTTCATGATCCTCCGCTGCTGCGCTCAGGGAAACAAAAGTTTTTGTGTGTGGGGGGGGAGGGGAAGGTCAATCAATCAATTCCAACTTTGCAAGATTTTTTTTTTTTTGCGAGAAGTTGCAAAGTTACTTCAGAGCCCAAAAGAAAGTAAGACCAGGTCTTACTTTTGGGGAAATGGGTAGACGATTATAGTTTTGGTTTCAAAGTGATTACTAGGGATAAGAGAGGTATCTTTTAGGATTGTGCAGAGCTTTTCATTTAAAAAGTCCTTCTCAAACAATTGTACATTCTGGGAAAAAGGTGTTCCAGATCTAGTTCAAAACAACTATAGTATACTAGCTATAGTATAATCACTACTGCCTAGATAAAAAAAATATGAGCATTAGTATACCAGCACTTCTTTTTCCCTTAATTTTCCCCTTCCCATATTGCTGATTAAACCTGCAAAATGGTGGGATATAATAATTATTATAATTCAGTTAAACAATTGTTTTATTTACCTTTAAAAATGAATCATAATAACTATAGCATTTGATATTTCCTAAAGAAATGTGTATTGTAGCAATCCAGTATTCATTTACTGAGGGCAATAAGCATGGCTGAGCATAGAATTTGTCTCAAGTAAAATCTGCACAGCAACAACTGTGTGCAACTGTTGTGCAATTTCCACCATACAGTAGGAAATGTTTTATTATGATGTCAGGCAAAATACAATTGATAACAAATCTGATTGCCCAAATGCTGTTACTATTCTCATACAACTACCAGCAATGTGAAGATACAGGGATACAGCACTTTCTACACTCTACTGTTTGCAACTTTTTAAAGTAAACAACCAATTTGCCCTCTATCAGACATATACAGACTTGGCACTCTGGCCATCCCTTCATCTGATTGGTTGTCCAATTGTCCTTGGTTAATAATATAGCCCCCCCGGCCCCCTCCCCCCATAGTATTTTAAGTGGATTAATTCTCTCTGCTCCAGACTTTCCCAAAGTGCCCTAATTTTTCTTCACCATTACATAAGGACCCACTTCACCCAAGAAAGCAGAACTCCTGAAACAGGCATTGTCTTAAAAGGAACTTTTATTAGGGGCTAGTGACAGTAGGAAAGTCAAGGCGAGATCTGGGGAAAACCCACTCAAATAGTATAACTGGCAATCTCCCTCCTCCCACCAGTCATAATGTCCATTTGAAATCCAGCCAATCCACAGGTGGCACGATGTTTGGGTAACTGGCACAAGTTGGCACTTATCTCAAGGTCTTCTCCAGTTTCCTTTCTCCATACACAGTCTTCTCTCATTAGGATAGAGGCAGGAGAGGAAAAGTAGAAAGTGAAAGTTCTCCCAAGCAACAGTAATCCCCTCCCCTCCCAGTAGAATGGCAGGCCTCAAACTGGAATACATATGCAAAGAAGTAAGAAGGATTTGGGAATCTGACAATAATAATGTATTTTTCCAACTTTCCCTGCAGAAGGAAGAGGGAGAGCTGACAGCTCTATCTGCTGGGCTGGTAGGAGGAGGACAGTAATAATTCTGCTTTATTGTCTCTTAAGTGTTGTCTTTGTGTTGAAATAGAGGTACAGAATGACAGTATAACAGAATTGGAAGGGACCTTGGAGGTCTTCTAGTCCACTCCCCTGCTCAAGCAGGAGACACTATACCATTTCAGACAAGTGGCTGTCTAGTCTCTTCTTCAATGCCTCTAGTGATGGGCACCCACAATTTCAGAAGGCAAGTTGTTCCAATGGTTTATTGTTCTCACTGTTAAGAAATTTCTCCTAAATTGTAGGTTGCTTCTCTCCTTGATTAGTTGCCATCCATTGTTTCTTGTCTTTTCTTCTGGTGCTTTGGAAAATAGATTGGCTCCCTCTTCTTTGTGGTAGCCCTTCAAATATTGGAACAGTGCTATCATGTCATCCCTTGTCTTTCTTTTCACTAGACTAGACAAACCCAAGTCCTACAACTGTTCTTCATATGTTTTAGCCTCCAGCCCCCTAATCATTTTTGTTGCTTTTTTCTGCACTCTTTCCAGAGTCTCTTCATCTTTTTATAATATGGTAACCTATTCTAAGTGTGATCTTACTAGAGTTTTTAAAGCAGTTGTCAAGGTCCTGACTTAGAAATTTAGGAAACAAAGACCCTCGACTCTATTTCTTTGAAGTGAAAGGTTCTTTTACTGAAGTCAAATGGTAACAGCGAAAATAAAGCTGGAGCTGAGTATTTCCCATGCAAAGGTTGCACATTTCCCTTTCCCTGGCCCTCAGTGTCCAATAATATTCATTTTTGATATTTTGAAAATGGCTTTTGAGTGTAAGGTCCTGCCTCAGCTAATGCTCCCAAGAAAGCAGAACTCTTGAAAATAGGCATTGTTTCAAACAGGATCTTTTATTGAGAGTCAGTGAAAGCAGAAAGGCAAGGCAAGAGCTAAAGACTTCCCACGCAAAATGCTACATTTTTCAAACCCCTGCCTAAAACTCAACTGTCCAGTTCATTTTCAGCCAATCCACAGGTGCGAAGTTGTTATGGGAACCTGAGCAATAAGGGACAGTTCCCAGGCGTAGCCTCATCTTTACAATGGAGCGGAGATAAGGCAGATGGCCCCTGGTACATTCCACCCCCTTCTTCACACCAAAAGGGATATATTAAAGATGAAGAGAACAAAGTAAAGGAAATACATCTGCT